GACAGCCTAGTTTTTATTGGCTGTAACAGATTCCTCCCAGAGGACCTCCCAGTGTAACCTGGCCAAGGTCAGCCAGTGATTTTCCATGGATGAAGGGAGATTCAAACCCTGGACTCCTGGATTCCTATTCCAACTAGTAAACACTTGCTAGCTCTCCTGAATGCCCCTACACATCTAAAGCAGATGTTGAAAAATCTATTTATTCTTTCTCATAAATCTCAAGAATTGTAAGGCATAATTTATTTAGGGAATGACCCTACAACAAATTCATGTTGGGGATACATTTTCCTTATTGTACATCTCAGAATGCGAAGAGAGAAGTGTAGAGGGTCTGAGCATAGATTCCTGTATACTTGAGGAAGGGGATTAATCCCATCACCTAGCAACTTACACAATTTACTACCACAAAAACCTGATGGTAGCCACCAGCTCTAGAATCCTATTGATGATACACATTTTAAGGTTGTTGCAAAATAAGGTATCCAGTACCTTTTTGTGCAGCAGGAATGCCACATACACAGTTGGTCTATTAGCTGTCAGGTGATGTGCCCAATTGGCCATTAGTGGCAATGTGAGGATGGGTAGGGGGTACTCAGGCAGTGTCTGGGTACATTTCTGAAGCCAGAAGAACAAATACAACATTGTTGTTGTCAAACCCTAACCCTAACCCTAACCCTAACCCTAACCCTAACCATCAGCACAACCACCAACACCAACACCACCTTTATTTATTTATTTATTTATTTATCCCTCCTTTTTTCCAGTTTGGGACTCAAGGTGGCTTACGACAGATTTTTTTAAAATGGTTAAAAATTCACAAAACGCAAAAGTGAAAAAGTGATTAAACTATCAAAATAAATTAAAACTAAGTTTTAAACATCAGCCATTTAAAAATGCATAACAGCCCAACAAAAATAATAAATAAAATATCTAGTATATTGGGCAAGGCCTGACCTGCCTAAGCATTTACTCCTCATAATGAATGACAGAACAGAAAGGTCTTCACCTGTGTACAGAAAGAAAATAGGAAGGCTACCAGTTTAACCTCTCTGGGAAAGGAGTTCCAGAGCTTGGGGGCAGCTACTGAGAAGGTTCTCTCCCATGTTCCCACCAGATGTGGAAACCAGAATAGGCTTGGTGGAGCCCTGCATTTCAGCCAATACTTACAAGGCCTGATGGCTATATACAATTGGGCCTTGGTATCTGCTGGGGTTTGCTTGCAGGACCTCCTGAGGATACCGTTGATACCGAAGTCCCATTATATACAGTGGCATAGCAAAATAGTGTCCCATAGATAAAAGGGCAAAATCAAGGTTTGTTTTTTGGAATCTACACATTTTTGGAATATTTTCAAGCCACGGATGCTTGAATCCATGGATGTGGTGTGCCAACTGTATTATTTCCAGGATCGGAGACAGTGTAGATCCAAATGCCAGCTGCTAAGGGAGAGAATGGTTATGTTCATGTACAGCTTCTTCTACCATAGATATCAGCTTGGTTACCTTCTCACTGCTTGAAACAGAAAAGTGAGTTTTAACCAGCAAATAAAACACTGAAAGGACATTATTTTTACCTGTCCACTAACATTGGTCCACCAGAGGTTTAAAATAGATGGGAGTCCCCAGTAGCTCTCTGCCCTTGGGGCTTCACTCAGCTATAGGATTATAGAGTTATTCAGAAACAAAAATTCACCTGTTAAGAGAAAAGAAATTAAATTTTCACATCCTCTTTCAAAGAATCTATATTGGAATCTCCCTTGCATATTAACCTTTTTTAAAGTGAAAGCTTCCCCCACCACCATAGCAAGAAGAAACTATTTGACTTAGAATGTTTTAACTTCAGATATTTGTTGGGAGCACTGTTGAAATAATTTTGTTTGTGCAATGAAGCAGGGGCTCAAAGATTTACCCCTTGAAGGTCTACTGCTCTTGAATTTTGCCTAGTGAGAAATACAAACACTCAACATATGTGGTAATTAAGGACAGATGTGATTATTTGACAAATAATCATAACAAATAATTGTCACTTCCTTGTTTAGAAAGCACTAATTTAAAACATGTGCTTGCTGACCTAACCTCACCAAGGCCTGTTCCTCTCATATAGGCGTTGTGGTAGACCCATTCCAAATTGTTATCTTTTCAGCAATAACCAACCCTTCCTTCTCTCCTTGTAACATTCTCTTTCAAACATTTACACTTCTCAGAAGTGTATTCCAAACTAGCTTCTGTTTTTCTAACACATGAGGAGCCCATTTTAAGGGGAAAGACTGGGAAAAAACGCAGATCCTGGTTGATAATGAGATAGACAAATTGCTGGCTAGATACACACTCTCTGTCCACTGGTATATTTCATCAGACTGTTTTATTGCTGTCTCCATTCCATTTATTTACTGGTTTAGGTACAAACTATGTGTAGGAGTGTTTGGTATAGATACTAAGTAGAGTTTGAAATGTTAAAAAATATAACAATTTATTGTCTCAGGAAATTTATCTCAGAATAGAAAAAGAGCTAAGCAAAAAGGGTGACCTTCAGGTTGAAGAAAACATCAGCTTCTCCGTTGCGGCTCTCCAAAATTAAATTGGTCTGTACAGGAACAAAACCTGGGACTTTCAGAGACTTTTTTCTTGCCCAGAGATGCCCAGAGAAGACAACAAAAAGGCATAAACTGGAATTATGTTTTGGATATATCACTAATGTGGTATACCCTGAAACTAGTTAAGTAAACACAGCACTTTTTCCAGGACATAGATTCAACAGAGATCCAGTGAAGCAAAGAGGAATGTTGGCACCAAAACAAAATGTTCCTAATATTTAACTAGTGTAATATTGTTAAAGAACTTTAGCACTTTGACTCTAACCCCTGAATAATACAGTCGACCCTATGTATCCACAGATTCTTTATCAATGGATTCCAGCCTCTGGGGCTTGAAAATATTCAAAAAATATATAAATTCCAAAAAGCAAACCTTAATTTTGTCATTTTGTATAAGAGACACCATTTTATTATGCCACTGTATTAATGGGGCTTGAACATCCACGAATTTTGGTATCTAAATTTTGGTTCTGGAACCAAACCCCAGCGGATACCAAGGACGCACTCTAATAAAGAAGGCCCAGTGGAAATTGCTGAAAATCAGTTTATGAAATGTTGCATGAATTTAGATGTGGCATGTGATCAATAAAAGGGAGAGGAAGAAGAAAACAAGGAAAGAAGAATGAGTGAAACAGAATATTTCAAGAAAGAGTTGGCATGCAAACCTGTGATTATGTAGGCAAAATTGAAACAAAAAGAACTGTAAAGTCTAGATACTTCCACAGACTTTTTTGCCTTCTGAGTGAGTCCTTAGTTGTTGCAGAGGAAGGAATTCAGTATGGTCCTCAATCAGTTACCTGAAGAAACTATTTTTTGCCCCAAAACCTAGCCATGAGGTGGCCAGTGGAGGACAGGGCAGTCAAGGATCATCCAGTTAGGTTCTGATAGCCAAATGCATACATATGGGCATTCTCCAGAACCAGAGAGAAAAGGGAGACATGCTGTTATTCCATCTTGGGGAACTTTATACTACATCAGGGGTAAGGCAACCTTTCCCCTTTAAGGGCCAAGGGACTTCAGCTCCCAGAAGCCTCAGCCATGTTGGCCAATAGTCCCATGTTGGTCAATAGCTCCTGGGATTCTGGGAGCTGAAGTCCCTCGGCCCTTAAAGGGGAAAGGTTGCCTACCCCTGCTGTACTTGGTGGCAAGAGCCCCTAAAGCTGGTTCTCATTTGTGGAGGCAAGTGAGAAACCATTCATGGGCTTGGGCCACCTAATGTTGCACCAGTTTTTCAGAAAAATAGCTACCTGACTACCTGAATGTCTTCTCTGAAGGAGCAGGAATTGACTTCATCAGATAGGAAGAAAGCAAAAAAGGCTTTGTTGTTGCTGTTTCATGCCTTCAAGTCATTATAGCAACCCTAAGGTGAACATATCATGGGGTTTTCTTATCAAGATTTGTTCAGAGGAGGTTTGCCATTGCCTTCTCCTGAGGCTGAGAGTATGTGACTTTCCCAAGGTCACCCAGTGGGTTTCATGGCCAAGCTGGGACTTGAACCCTGATCTCCAGAGTTGTAGTCCAGTACTGATACCACTATGCCACACTGACCCTGAAGAAACCCTCAAATGGAAAAACACCAGGGACTATCTGTCTTCTCACTCACACTGATCATTTGATACAGACATTGGTGCACTTTTGCCTTCCAGCACTTGTCAAGAAAAGGTAGGATACACCTGTAGACAAATAGATTAGTACTTTTTATTTTGTTGCCTGTTTGCATCTTTTTATAATGGATTTCATCACAGTTTGCAAATTCACTTTATGAAAAGATTTATTTTATTTATTTATTTTTAAATTGAGTATGACCTATCATGAAAAGGTGGGGAGGGGAGAGAAAGAAAAACAGAAAACAACATTTCTCTGTAAGAAACCATTTTGTACACAAAAAACTATAGGGATTATCACACCTCCTTCCTTACTCAGCTTACCTCTTGAGAATTAGACCCCAATTCAGGC